GTAAGAGATCAACCAAAGGACTTGTATGCATGCATATAAGCATAACCAATGGACATAAGACACTGCGGGATAGGGGAGGCTAGGGGACTGTCTAGGGCGGGGGGAAAAATGGGCACATATGTAATACCCTTTGTAATAAAAAATTAAATAAAAAATAAAAATAAAAATATACACAAAAGGAAAAAAAATATTTTGTATATATTCTTCTAGAACACTCTCTGTGCATGTATATTTAGATAGATCTTTCTTAAGGGATCTTCTTAGGTTCAGAATTTTAGGACCTCCTATACCCTGGATTACCTTTTACCTGCACATCAGAACACACAGCTCTGCCTCCTCCTTTTAATGATTCCAATGTCCATAGTATGTCTGGACCATTTATTTAATGATGAGCATGTAGGCTGTATTGATGAACATGTAGGCTGCTCCAGTTTTTGCCATTACAAATAAGCCTACATATATCCTTCTGTCCTTATGTGTTGCCATAGTCTAGGTTCCCAGAGGTGGGGTGCTGGCTCTGAGACCTGGGAGATATTTCCAAAATGCCCCCCAGAGACCTTGCACCTGCCTACACCCAGGTAACGTGCCTCTGAGAGGACATTTGGACTGAAATGTAGACTTTCCAACGGCACAGCCCAGGGCCCTTGACAACTTGCAGGACCAACACTGAGAAGTTACTAAAGAAGGGAGAAGCAAACCAAATGACTACCTCAAAGCTGCGTGTAGGAGTCCAAATTAAAGATACCAACCTGGGGCAGCAGCCAACAGCACAAGCAAGTGAAAGAAAGGCATCGTGCAGCGGAAAGCCTCCTGCCTCCTCATTCCTCAGCAGCACTCCGGAGCGCCTTCCCTGATTCTGGGAGTGGCACCCTCTTGGCGGGGAGCCTTCTCCAGAGAGACGTTCTGTCTCTAAGTGCCCTGTATTCACTTCCTCATGACACAGTCCTTGCTGAGTGATCTGTAAAGCGACACCTTCTTCTCTCAAAAGGACAAAAGCTCCCGTCAGGAGGTGGGCCTGAACAAGGGGCAAAGTCCCCAATTCACATTCCTCTACATGCAAAGGCCTCCCGAAGCCTGCTGACTCTGGGGTGGCCAGGCTGCGTGGGGACACCAGGAAGTGGTCAGCGCGCGCTAGATCACCCATTTTCAAAGGGTTTTGATTGAAAAGACTCCAGGTCACTAAGGTACATTGTCCCGCCTGGTTCTATGTGTTGATGTTTCAGACTTGGAATGAGACCCAGACTCTGCTTGCCAAGTGTGCAGAAAGCTTACAAGTTGCTAAGTGAGATTAGCGTGCAACCAGATCGGGATAAGATGCAAACACTAACCACCAGTCAAAGGTCAATAGGATGCAAGTTACCACCTGTAAGTTAAAGCTTTAGGGGCACTATTGGAAAAGATCTGGCTGGCTGTATGCAGACAACATATGAAAAGATCTTTGGAGGCAGAAAATTGGTGATTCACAGGCTAAATATGACCTGCAGATCACATTTTAATTTTTTAAAAATATGTTTTATTGATTTCAGACACGGAGAAGGAGAGAGAGAGAAACATCAATGATGAGAGAGAATCATTGATCGGCTGCCTCCTGCACACCCCCTACTGGGGATCAAGCCGGCAACCCAGGCATGTCCCCTTGACTGGAATGGACCCCAGAACCCTTCAGTCTGCAGGCCGCCACTCTATCCACTGAGCCAAACCAGCTAGGGCCAGACCATGTTTTTAAATGAACAAAGCTTCTTAAAAATTTGAAGTTCAATAAGATTTGATTGGTCCAGCTCTCTGCAGTTTACCACATTCCTACCCCTTCCTGCCACACCCCACAGCTTCTCACATTTACCTGCCTGGCCCCTGCGGGGATTCCTGTTTGCAATCTCTTACTTAGAGGTTTCAATCAATTACTATCTCCATAGGAGTCAACTGTTGTTATGGTTACCTAAACAGGATTATGCGGTCTCAGATATGTCCAACAGAAGGGTAATGTGGAGAACAAAAGGAGACTGTGTTTTTACCAGACTTTGCCCTGCTCTGGCTTTTTGGCTTTTCAGAGGGACAGTTACAAATGGCCAGGGAATGATGGTGTGGGTCTGAGTCCAAGACACACCCTATGAAGGATGGTTGCAAAGAAAAGAAGACCCTTGAATTGATGCCCTTCTCTGTAGCTCCCTTACCTAACTGTCAGGCAGTTGGACAGACATGAGCAGAGCGAGGACGATGGGCCAGGTACAGAAACTCCCCAGGGCAGAAAGCCCCAGATGCCGAGCAAGGGCCCAAACTGGGAAAACAAGAGCCTCACCGCAGGGTGACCTGTCCTCCCCTAGCATATCAGTGGTCGTGGGGTTTGGAGCCTTGATCTTTTCCTCCCTAAAGATAACATTTCCGCCTCAGTTATATTTCAGCTCCAGGCCCAGAAAAGCAGCAAAATCAGACAAGTGACGCTGTGGCTGCCTCAGGACCAGCTGCTCTGACTGATGACCCCCTGCCCTGGCACTGACCAGTCAGTGGAGATCACAGCCCTGAAAGAGCACCCTCCCCTGGGCCTCCCCTAAGATTTCCACCTGCGAGAGAGAGAGAGAGAGAGAGAGAGAGAGAGAGAGAGAGAGAGAGAGAGAGAGAGAGCTGCTCTGGATGAAGGACCCAGTGCACACTCTCCCCCAGGGAAGCACGCCCACGCCATCCCCTCCCCCCTTCTTCCCTCTAAGGGACCCCAGGAGACTTGCAATCAGGGGAGCAATGAGCAGCAGCAGCTTGGCCGGGGGTAACCTCTTGACCCCTTTGCTTCAAGGCCCCCTGTGCTCTGACTTCTCAGTGAGCCAGAGCAGCCCAGCCTAGGCGCTCCCGTTACTCCTTCTATGCACCTTCCTGGTTTCTCTGTCCTAAGTGTATTTTTGCTGCGGCCAACAAATTCCTACTTGCTTCGCTGCACTTTGGGCCTTGACTGAAATCTCTCCTTCAAGGGGACAAGCTCTTGTGGTCTCGCTGGTAACAAAACCACTACAATCTCATCCTTGAGACTCTGCCACAGCCTCCCCTTCCAGTCCAGAATCTCCCTCTCTCCACTCACCGCCTCATACCCAGTTCATTCCAGCATGGTACCTCCTAAGTATTCCCGGGTCTGTACACTTCTGCCTCTCTCTACTCCTAACCACCACCATGGGTAGCCTGGGCCAATGCCTATCCAGGGACATTTCAACAACCATACGTTTCCCTCTCCCATGCATTTTCCAAGCCGCACGCCGCAATCTGTTTTAAACGCAAGCACAGCATTGCTTTCCCTTGTCGCCTATGTTCCCACACGTTGGTCTCCACACGCCTAGTTCCCACCTCAGACCCTTTGCTCCGGCAGATTTCCATCCCTGAAATACTTCTCCCCGATCCTACCTTTCAACCTGAAACATCTCACCTCAAATGTTGGCCCTTTAGAAGCACCCACTACCACTAATTTCTACTGCATTTTTCTAGTTTTCTCCTAGCATCTTGTATCAGCGCCTGGCATGCTTTATCTCTTAGTTAACATTTTTAGTGTCTTTCTCCTCCACTAGGATGCAATTCCTGGGCGGGGATTCCACTTGTTTTGTTCAAGGCTGAATCCCCATTGCACAGAATAAATATATATTGACTAGCTCTGTAAAAACTATCAAATTCAAAAAAAATATCAAATTCATGGAGACAGAAAGGCAGATTTCTGTGGTTTCAAGGCAGGGGGATGGCAGGCAGAGAATGGAGAGTTACGGGTACAGAGTTCCAGTTTTGCAACATGAAAAAAGTTTAGGAGATGAATGGCGATGATGGTAGCACAACTATGTGAATATATTAATGACACTGAACTGTACATTTAAAAGTGGTTAAGATGGTAAATTTAAGTTATGTATATTTTACTTCAGTTAAAATCTGCATTGCTCTGAAGGTCAAGATCAGGGCCGTGAATTTGTTCTGTGGGATCCAGCAGCTCTGCCTTCCTTAGTCCAGCTCCTCTCCGTCGTGGGCTCCTCACCGCAGACATCCCGACTACCTTCCACCTTCTCTGCAGCACCTGACTCCTTCCACCCGGGGCTTTGGGAGCCGTGCCTCCTCTTTCTGGGACAGACAGGTCTTCACACGGCCAGCTCTTTCTCCTCACTCGGCTCTCAGGCCAGGGACTCCTCCTCTGAAGGTGACCTTCACCTATTGCTCCTTCCTACTTTCTTCATGGCACTTGCCACTAGCCGAAGCTAATTTATTTCCTCACGTGTTGTCAGCTTCTCCCCCAGAATTTTCCGTTTTGTTACTTAGGGTGACTGTGTGTTGTTCACTGTGCCCAGAGGAGCATCAGCATCCACTAGGCATGCGGACAGTTGCCGGGTAACAATGAATAAAACATCCCCGGGAGGTAGCAGCTACTATTCCCATTTCACAGATAGGAAAATGGAGGTCCAGAGAAGTTTTGCCACCTGCCCAAGGTCCCATAGCTTACAAGGGGCAGAGCTAGAATTTAAAAACAGGTTTGGCTCCAAGCTGTGTCCTTGGTGCCCCAGCTCTTCTCTCTGCTCTTCTCCTGTCCCACTCTGGCGAGCTCCATCATTTGCGTCAGACTCCTTGAAAAACCCGTGCATCTTGTCACGGAAGCCGAAGCAGCAAATGCTTTAGCCCGTTGCACACACACATGTACACACGCAGATTTGCACACTCATAGACGTGCAAACAGACATACACATACACAAATCAAAGTCAGCTCTTCTTTCCTAGTATAAAATCAACCTCATTCATCCAGGTTGTTGACAAAATACAACAGAATGAATACAGCTGTTCCAATTACCGAGTGACAGTAATTGGGCCATGGTTAAAGAAAACGCTTTATTCGTGTATTTGTTCATTCAATCACCTATTATTTACTGTGCTCTGGGGATTCCAGTGGATGAGGGAAAGCAGGCCAGGTGGAACCACACACCCATTGGGCTACAGCACATCAGGTGCTGTGATTCAGTGCTTCTAAAAGGACCGCCTGCACCTAGGCTCCCCTGAGCGCTTTTCTATCCCGACTTCACAGATGAGAAAGGAAGCAACAGCCCTAGCTGGTTTGGCTCAGTGGACAGAGCCTCAGCTTGAGAACTAAGAGAGCCCCGAGTCTGATTCCGGTTAAGGGCCCATGCCTGGGCTGCAGGCTCGGTCCCCAGTATGTGGCGTGCAGGAGGCAATCGGTCAATATTCTCTCTCATCATTGATGTTTCTATCTCTCTCTTCCTCTCTGAAATCAATAAAAAATATATTTAAAAAAATAAAATAAAAGCAAGCAAGCACAGACAGGTTGAATTGATGAAGGCCATACAGCTGAGCTGCAGCAAGAACCCAGCTGTAACTCCCAAACCCACTCGCCTAACTCCTAAGTGCAGTGGTTTTCAACTTTGGCTGCATATTAGAATCACCTGGGAATCTTTTTAAAATCCTGATTTCTGGGCCTCGTCCTCTGGAAATTCTGTTTCTTTGTTACTAATGTTGTGGCACCACCCCATAACAAAGAAACAGAATTTCCGGAGGATGAGGCCCAGAAATCAGGATTTTAAAAAGATTCCCAGGTGATTCTAAGGTGCAGCCAAGGTTGAGAACCGCTGCCTCAGTGTGATATATCTCATTCTTGACCATGTTTACTTCCTCCCCCCAGGACTGGAACAGCAAGAGCCTTGCTTGCTACTCAAAGTGTGGCTTGTGAGTCAGCATCATCAGGATCACCTGGAGGCTTGTTAGAAATGCAAATCCTCGGATTCCACCCAGACCTATTGTATTGAAACCTGCTTTTAATAAGACCCCAGGTCATTCGTGTGTACATGAAAGTTTGAGAAGCATGCTCCAGATCACTGCTGAGGTCAAA